CCTCCTCATCCTCCTCCTCCTCCTCCTCCTCATCATCATCCTCAATATTCCCCCCCGTCCCCCCCTACTCCCCGCCCCCTCCCCCCTCCATCCGTTGTTTTCCATCTCTGCTTCCTCTCCCCTAGCCCTGCTGGACTGCTGCCTTGTGTGATGTTTGTGGTCTTTAGTTGTTTGTCTATTATCATTCCAATCCTGTCTCCAGTTTGCTGTCTGGGGGGAAGAATTCCTGGCCACTCTGAGGTTCCTTTTCGAAACGGGCCTGTCTCAAGGTATTGCTTGACCCCGCCTTGCAGCATTCCTTGTGGCTTGACGGGTGTCTGCCGTTTCCTTTCAAAGCTGCCCCCCCGCCTGAACTGAGGGCCCATAGGGCAATGCTTGTCGTGACGCAGTGAGGAGGAGGAGGACTTGGGACTGGAGGGTGTATTGCAGCATCGTTGGTGCATCTCGGGTTTCCTCTGGCCCCCTTCTTCCCCCTCCTCTCCGAGGGCTCTCCTTCTCATCTTCCTCCTTCTCCTCCTCCTCCTCCTCCTCCTCCTCTGCCCCCCCCCCTCCGACGACGGCGATGACGACAACGCCGCCGAACCAATCTGTCTCACAGCAATCCTTGGGCACCCCCTTGGGTCCGTGATGCTCGGGAGAAAAGAGAGATGCCCAAGGGCGGGAGAAGAGAAGGGTTGAGCGTCTTGGCTGCTTCCCGTCGTCGTTGTCGTCGTCGTCATCGTCGTCGTCGTCGTCCTCCTCCTCCTAGTCCTCCTCCTCCTCCTCCTCCTCCGCCTCCGCCTTCTCCTCCTCCTGCTCCACCTCATCTCTGAACCTTCCTCCCATCAACTCCCTCCTCCAAACTCCGCCGTCGTCCTCCACATCCTCTTCCTATTGCCTGCTCCTCTTTCCTCCTCCTCCTACGGCTGCTCTGTATCATTCCATCTTCCTCATCATCCCCCTCCTCCCTCCTCCCTCCTCCTCCATTTGCTCACCCTCCGCCTCCGTCTCCTCCTCTTGCTCCTCACCCTCCTCTCTCCCTTCATTCTTTGTTCCTTTCTTCCTTCTTTCCTTCCTTCCTGTCCTTTCTTCCTTCCTTCCTTCTGTCCTCCTCAATTCTCGTCCCCCTTCCCCGCATCACCTCCCCAATCTTCCCACGTATCGGGCTCATCTGCCTTCTCCATTCTCCCCCCATCTCCCTAGTCGTCGTCGTCGTCGTCGTCGTCGTCGTCGTCGTCGTCGCCGCCCTCCTAATCCTCCTCCTCCTCCACCTTCTCCTCATGGCCGGGCGGGAGGGATGCCATGGGAGGGGGGAAGGGGGAACAGCCAGGACCCCTCATTCTCCCTGTCCTGGACCTCACCCTGCGCTCCTGAGCCTCACTGGCACAGGGGGGGGCTCAGAGCCTGTTGCTTGACATGCTGGTTCGTCGTCGTCGTCGTCGTCGTCGTCGTCGTCGTCGTCGTCGTCGTCGTCGTCGTTCTCGTCGGGGGAAGGAGGAGGAGGAGAATGAGGGGGAGAAGGAAGAGGAGGGGGAGAAGGAGAAGGAGGAGGAGGAGGGGGAGGAGGAGAGGGAGGAGGAGGAGGGGGAGAAGGAGGATGAGGAGGAGGAGGAGGAGGAGGAGGAGGAGGAGGACGATGAATAACCACATCGTTCGACAGCAGGGGTTGCCCCCCTCCACCCCCGAGGCCCCCCAGGGGAGGGTGGGAGAGGGGGGGGGGCAGCGTGGGCCCACAGCTGGGCTCACGGGGGGAAGCTGGGAGGAGGAGGATGAGGATGAGAATGAGGACGACGACGACGACGAGGAGGAGGAGGAGGAGAAAAAGGAGGAGGTGGAGGAGGTGGATGAGGATGAGGATGAGAATGATGATGACGACGACGACGAGGAGAAGGAGGAGGAGGAGGAGGAGGAGGAGGAGGAGGAGGAGGAAGGCCGGTGGGAGGAGGAGGAAGAGGAGGATGACGAGGAGGAGGAGGAGGAGGAGGAGGAGGAGGAGGAGGAGGAGGAGGAGGAGGAGGAGGAGGAACAAGCGGCGACCTCCGGGGAGAAGGGAGGAGGCCCGGGGGAGCAGGAAGGAAGGTCCGACGGGCCCGGCTGCTGCTCTCCTGGCCCCCCCCCCCTGGGCCACTGCCGTCCCTGGACTCGCGTCTGCCTTGCTGGCCGTGCGGCCGAGGCCCCCCCCCCAAAACCCCTCGGGTAGGGCAAGCGAGGAAGACGACGAGAAGGACAAGGGGGGAAAGAGGGGGCGGGGAAGGAAGGGGAGCGGACGGGAGGCGGGGGAGGGAACTCGGAGGAGGAGGAGGAGCAGGAGGAGTCAAACTTAGCCAGGTCTAGCGAGTCAGAGGGCCCCGCCTGCTCCCACCCTCCCACCCTCCCTCCCGCAACACAAACATCAATTGTGGCACACCGTGGTACTTGGATTGGGACGCGCTCCCACCCCGCAAGCGCAAGGCGCTCGCGCGCGGCCCTGTTCCGACAACTCGACGAAGGGAAACTACGCGGCCCGCGCAGGGGCGGGAGCGGCAAAACTTCCGATGAGCGCGGGGAAGGCGAAGCATTCGCCGCGCTGACTCAGCAACTGCTTCGCCTGAAAGTTGCTTCGCCTCGTGACTGTTGAAGTTGCTTCGCCTCAGGAACACAAGTCGTATGGAACTTTCAAAGGGAACGCCCTGCACTGCCTGCGAACACGTCTGCCGGTGCGACAGGGTGTATGAGAAAAAAATGGTAGATGATGATGATGATGATGATGATGATGATGATGATGATGATGATGAGGAGGAGGAGGAGGAGGAGGAGGAGGAGGAGGAGGAGGGGGATGAGGAGGAGGAATAAGACAAGGACAAGGAGGAGGAGGAGGAGGAGGAGGAGGAGGAGGAGGAGGGGGAGGGGGAGGAGGAGGAGGAAGATGAAGAAGGGAAGGGGAAGACGCCCCCAAAAGGTCCCCGAGAGGGCTTCAACGGGACCCTCAAAAGGCCCCGAAGAGGCCCCCGAGACGCCGCGCTGACTCAGCACTGCCACTTCCACTCGCAAGCTGCGCAGCGCTCGGGCGAGGTCGACATTTTGCCCGCTCTCGCGCGGTCCCGCTGCCGTTGTCGCTTTCGTGCGCCTCGGCGAACGAATCATGCGCCGCGCCCGCGCTGGAACGCCACTTCCGAGCCAAATGCGCACGGAACCCGGGGGCGACAAATCGCGCCCCCGCGCGGCCCCCCCCCAAATGACAGTCGGACTCGACTGGACAGGACACGCGAGAGGACACAAGACCATTCCGAGGGCCACATTGCCACAGGAATGTAGGAAGCATGGGTCGCGAGACACAGGACCCAAGGGTACCCTTGATTTGGCAGGGTCGACCTACTAATCTGGGCCGACCGTCGCGAGTGAGCGCATTGGCGCCGCGTCGAAGCGGGAGCGCCACTCTCAGGCGAAGTCTGCGCGGCGCAGGAGGCGAGAACGACATCTTCGTCCGCTCGCGCGTCGACGAGGATGCGTGCGAAGAAGGTGCGCCGCGCCCCAGCGCAAGCTCAACTCTCTCTCTAAAAAAGTAGCGCGGAGCCGCGGCGAGAGCGACATCTTGGCCGTTCGTGCGGGATGTGCGCCCCGTCCCACTCCTGCCGCGCATTCTGCCACGTGGTCGACGCAGTGCCCACGCCGAGACGCAACACGTCGATGCTGTGTCTCGTATCCTCTGACAAGTAGGACGGGGCCACCCGGATTGGGGGCTCTCGGCCGGCTGGGTGGCAGCCCATCTATTCACAAGGAATACGGATCGGAGGCTCAGCGTAAGTCCACGATGCATTAACGATGCTGTCACACACCCTCTTCTCCAGAAGTCCCCTCCCCAGAAGTCACCACAAGCCTCCATTCTCACCACAGAATGCACGTATCTCCTTGGAGGACGAGCGCTTCATGGGCCTACCATTCAGGCGGTAGTCCCGATGTGACAGAAATGTGCCTTGCATCCTTCACGCGAGCAACACATTGTGTGAAGAGGCGGGTTCGTAAACTTTGGCGGGGTGTCCAGAGAGATCGCCGTCTGAGAAAGAGGCACCCCCATCAGTGTAGATCTTCCACACATTCACACATCTGGTATTTGATGATGAAAAGGTCTCAGGCGACATCTTAACCTTGAAAAGAACAGCCCTCCATCAGTGTAGCTGTTGCAAATAACTGAAACGGATGTGCGTGGCGCTAATGCGAGGCCCATTTTGAGAGCGAGCCAGCTGGGGCAACCTTCGAACGAACATGCGTGCGCGGCGTTTTATGTAGCGGGAGCCCCAGTTTGAAAACGACCAGCTCTCCATTTTTGTAACTGTTGGAAATTGTTAAACCGAATGGGCGCGGCACTAAGACGAGAGCCAAATTTTGGAAACGAACGGCCCTCCATTCTTGTGGCTGTTGAAGTTGCTTCGCCTCGTGACTGTTGAAGTTGCTTCGCCTCAGGAACACAAGTCGTATGGAACTTTCAAAAGGAACGCCCTGCACTGCCTGCGAACACGTCTGCCGGTGCGACAGGAAGGGTGTATGAGAAAAAAATGGTGGATGATGATGATGATGATGAGGAGGAGGAGGAGGGGGATGAGGAGGAGGAATAAGACAAGGACAAGGAGGAGGAGGAGGAGGAGGAGGAGGGGGAGGGGGAGGAGGAGGAGGAAGATGAAGAAGGGAAGGGGAAGACGCCCCCAAAAGGTCCCCGAGAGGGCTTCAACGGGACCCTCAAAAGGCCCCGAAGAGGCCCCCGAGACGCCGCTAAAGAAGAACAGCGAACACCATGTGACGGCCACAAGACGCTGCTGCATCGTAGTGATGCTTCCAAGACGGTCCTAAGACGGTTCCACCAAGCTTGCTCGGGAGAGCTCGCTTGCATATCGTTGACGCGCTGGCACTGTGGCGGGGTTCGCCGCAGGCAACTGGATGTCGCTAGGTCTGTGCATTTTTTTTTATCTCTGTCTCTCTCTCTTTCTCTCTCTCTCTCTCTCTCATAGGGGGAGAAGAGGAGGATAATATTGCATTCAACCGACCACCTCCTTCTCCGCCAAGGCCGCGATGACGCGCTTCTTGTCGGACGTGAGAGGCAAGGCCAGTTCGTCTGGCTGTGCGAGCTTCGTGGGTGTCCTGCGCAGTGGATGGCGCGTGCGTCCCAGCTGAGGGGGGGCCGGGGAGATGATGTGTGGAGGGGGAGATGGGGAGGAGGAGAAGTGTGCGTAGGTGAAAGGCTGTGGGGCAAGTGGAGGTAAACGCAGGGGAAGGGAGGGGAGAGGGATGGGGGACGGGCGTACGCAAGCAGCGGAGCAGGACGGGGGGAGGGGATGGCGGGGGGGATGGGGAACAAGGAAAGCCTCCTCGTCCTCCTCGCGTTCCTCCTCCTGCACCCTTTCTTGCTGATGGGGCAAGCACCGCGGCTCGAGGAACCGTTCATGGACGGCCAGCCGGAGGACGAGTGACCTGGAGTGTCCCTTCGTAAGCAAGGGAGAATTCCTCATTCGATGCGTTCTGTGCGTTTTGTGACTTTCTGGAACTAGCTGGGGAATCTCATGTGTGTTGCACAGCGAAGTGGGCAGATCACGCGAAACTTTCTCTTGGTGGCTGCCCCGTGGCCGCCAGTGGCCGTCCCGTGGCCGCCCCTTGGCCGCCCCTTGGCCGCCCCGTGGCCGCCCTGTGGCCGCCCAACGTGGCTCGAAATGCCTACCTTGCGCCACATGGCTGGCACCGCGCAGCGTGCACCACGTGGCTTGCACCACGGAACTGGCACCACGCAGCTTGCACCAGACAGTCTGCACCTCCCGGCAGGCACCACATCTCTGGCACCACATCTCTGGCACCACGCGGCCGCCTCGTGGCCGCCCCGTGCGCCGCGCGTTCGGCGATGGTTCGCCGTGTTGCCGTCCGCGGCCACGTCGTAGCCGACTGGTCCGCCCGTGGCCGCTTCGTGGCCGCCTTGTGCGCTGGGTGGGTCCAGCAAACTTTCGCAACGTTGCCACCCGTGCCGCCTCTACCTCGCACCACGTATGCTGCACCGCATATTGAGGCTTCGCCGCGCCGCCGCCCGTGGCCACCTCGTGGTCGCCTCGTGGCTCGCACAACATAGCTTGCACAACAGAACTTGCACCACATAGCTTGCACTGCGTAGCTTGCACCACATAGTTCACGCCGCATAGCTACACCGCGTACCCTTCACATAGCTTGCGCCGCAAATGTGTCATTCCACATAGCTTGCACGAAGTAGATTTCATACACAATCCGCCGGACCCCTTGCGGGGCCATCAAGCTGCGAGGATGAGGATTGGAGCTCCCTGTTCCGGTTGCAGTTTCAAGTTTCCACTGTTACAGTCCTGCTTTCTGCTTCCTTACTTTCAATTTTTGCTGAGCGCGCGAGGGCGGGGAGCCGAAAAACGCCCTGGTTAGCACCCCCGAATCGCGTGCTCTGAATTCCCGGGGGATCGTGGGACACGTACAAATACTTGATATTCGCGTCCCCGAGGCCATAATCCCGGGTAAATTACGCCATGTGCGCGTCCCCGAGGCCAGAAACCCTGGGGACGCGAATTTTGCATAATTTGCAGCGGTGGTGGCTTCGGGGACGCAAAAACGTGTAATTTACAAAGTCTTATGGCCTCGGGGACGCGAATATCAAATAATTTACATGGGTTGATGGCTTCGGGGACGCGAGTTTCAAATAAGTTACAAGTGTTTGCGGCTTCGGGGGCGCGAATATGGTGTAATTTGCGCAGGTTTATGGTTTCGGGGACGCAAGCATTATTCAATGTACAAAGGATTATGGCTTCGGGGGCTCGAATATGATGTAACTTGCCAAGCTTTATGGCTTCGGGAGCGTGAATATCATGTAATGTGCAAGGGTTTAATGCTTGGGGGACGCGAATATGGTGTAATTTACGATGGATTATGGCTTCACACACCCTCGAAATTTATATAATAGTTGCGCCCCCGAGGCCATCTAATTTCGTAAGTTATGCAAGGTGTGCATCCCCGAGGCCACACACCCTCGTAAATTACGCAATATTCGCGTCCCCGAAGCCTTAAACCATTCGCGCCACCGAAAACATAAACCATCGTAAGATTCAGATTGGCCCTCGCGTGAAACCCCGGCATTACTTCGCGTCAGCGTCCAGACATCCCAACACAGCTCTGGCAAGTCCCACTGTAAGAGGGGGGGGGGGCAGCGGCATGGGGACGCAGCCCTTAAGAATAATACGACTACCTTAGCTGACCAAAACGACCCACCCACCCCTGCCTCCAACTCCCAAGATTCAATAGCGCTTCGTTGCCGCGATGTTGCCGCCCGCTGCCGCGACAAACAGGGGGGGAGAGGGTGAGGAGGAGAACTTGGTTGGTTTTGTTTTGGAGGTTGTCTTTGCTTATCTTTGCTCGCGCTACGGCCACTCGGTGATCTAACACGCGAGGAGAATCCGACGGGGCAAAGGAAAATACTACAGCATCGCGCCCCCCTAGTGAATCAAACCAGATTTGTGCCGCGAGGCCACAATTCTTGGTGACTTACGACGCAATCTCGTCCCCAAAGCCACAACCTGTTATGCAACTTGCAAGAAGGATTCGCGCGAGGCTACAGCCCCACGTGCATTACTATGGAATCGTCCCCCGAGCACACACTCCGTGGAAAATCACGGCGCGTTCGCGTTCCCGAAGCGCCACGAACCCACCCCACTGAAGCTTCCCAGAAACGCCCCCCCCCACCCCCGCAGAGCAGAAGCGTGTACGTTTCTGTATTGGGATATGTGCTCGGGGAACGGTTTCTGTCCCCCCCCCGCGTCTTCTGAGAATTTGGCTCTTGACCCGAGGCCACGAATCCTCTGAAATGGCCATGTGTGCGCGCTCCCGAAGCAGCGACCCCTTGCAAATTACAATGGGAGCTCGCTCCCAAGGCCACCATCGTTGGTTAAATACTTCAGACGCGCGCAACCTGCCAGCCAGCAAACAAACCGAACCAACTGCCAACTATCACTTTAAACAGCAAGCCAACCAGCCGAGTTGCCAGCCAGCCAACCGACAAGAAAACCAACCTGTCTACCGATCAAGCGTGGCCATGCGTACAATACGAGGGGGAGGGACGGCGGCAGAACGCGGAACCTCGAATGCATGCGCTACAAAACGACCAACGGGTCTGAACCCCATCGCACTCCTGCGAACAAGGAAAACACTTGCCAAATACGACGTGACGCCCCAAGACTGCGTACATCGGTTGCCAGAATTCGTCTTGAACAGAACATCCACTTCGCATGGTGGCGCATAACCCGTCCAAGCAATAGCATCTTTCATGCAAAGAAAGTCAGGGCCGCAGCCTCGTGCCAGCGCGTGAGCACTCCCTGACGTGCTCCTTGGTGTGCAATGCAAAGCATTTATGGGGGGCCTCGCTGGAATTCAACTTCTAACACTCTGCACGGGCACTGTGCCGTTTTCCCGATGAACACTCCCAAATACTTGTGCTACAATTCAACGGGTGGAATGAACATGGCATTCAACATCCAGATGTTGCTAGCCACTTCCTCACAATTCATGATCAGGGGGCTTGAGATGGCCGCCTCGTGCACTGACGGATGGCGAAATGCGTATAAATTCTATGTAGCATAGGTTGCGTGAGCTGGGTTTGCTCCGGTCCTCCTCGCCTTGTCCCTCTCGTGCTTCTTGTGGCAGAGCCTCCGAATGTAATCTTCGCTCGGCTGGAATGTGCGATCGGCCTTCGAAAGCCTGGTTCATCCTCAAGAACCTTGCGGATGAAGCCGGGATATTGGCCCTCGCCGGGAACTTACTGCCCAACAGGGGGACAATGCACAACTGGTCGCGGCCCCCCACGGCAAGTTCGTGTCGTGACGACCCCAGCGTTGGTTTCTGACACAGCGGGGATCGTTCACCCTTGAACGATCGGTCGTTTCCTCAATGTCAGATCGTTCAACATCGACCGACTCTGGGTCGCCGGCGGCGTTCAACGTTAAACGCCCGCGGCGGGGTCGCTGGTCGACACGGCGCGAACCTACCGCACCCCAAACTTAATTTCCGATGGCTGCACCAAACGGGCCAAAAGACTGGTAGGGCTACCCGTCGGTCGGAAGAAGTAGGTAAAAACATGAAGTAGGAAGGCGAATCAAGTAGATTGGGTTCAGGCCGTCCCAGATAATAACAAAACGCAGCAACAGCGCATTGATTCTTGTTGTAGGAAGGCGCTTGAAGTAGATTGGGATGAGGGAATATAAAAGGGTCTTCGGGGGAGGCCAAGAGGGTGGTGTCCAAGAGGGGGGGGCGCAAGTCATGGCCGGTGGCACGTGTGCGGTCCAGGGGGGGGGCTGGGGTTGTATTGAAATAGGACGAGGCGCCATGAAATCTGGGGAGATATCATGGCCCCCGCCATGTTATCCACCCCTCCTGGGTCATCATCCCCCTCTTGGCTGCCCCCGACAAGAGCGTCTACTTCCAACGACTGGCGTGTAGTGGCTATCGGGTCCAGCGCTACAGGAGCGGGACTCCGGCGGGGGCGGCGGCGGTCCAGGCCGCTGCCTTCCCAGGCTTCTGCGCGGGCGTCCGCTCCTGAATGGAACGGAGGGGGCTGGAGCAAAAGGGGTGACCTGGATAGCTGTCGGGGAACGAATAATGACATAAACATAAAAAAACTCGGAGGTCCGCGCGGATTTCTCGGATCGGCGCTTGGGCCCCCTGGCGGCGCCTCCGGCGCCGCCCCTGGCGCGCTCCGCGCGCCAGGGAGGGGGGTCCAGCGCCGATCCGAGAAATCCGCGCGGACCTCCACGTTTTTATGTTTTTGTCACTTTTTTCTCCCCGAAGCTGGGCCTTGCACGTGCTGATTGGGGCGTGCTTATTTGGGGGCGTACAGTCTGCGCAGCAAGGGCAGGGGGCAACAGGGGGAGGCCTGCAAGAGTGGGCGCACGACTCCTTGAATCCCGCCCTCGTGCCCCAGCAACGCACCAACTCGTTGCCTCAAACAGCTCGGTGCCGACCTTTGATTTTGAAATAGCTGGTGTATTCGGAGTTGCGCGCATGTCTGGCTACGCCTGGCCTGGATGCGGCGGCACCCATGACTCAAAACGAATCAAGAGCACGATCCCTCAAACCCCAGCCCCTGTGGAGGTAGCCTGCCAGAAAAAAGTGCTGCGGGGCTGAAAATGTGTATCCGCCGCCGCGCTAAAAGCACTGAGTGGAGTGTCCTCAGGTTCTCAGTCGTCCCTGCACCGAGAACAGGTCTCCCCGATTGCCCAGACACCTGCGCGATCCTGCGCGCTCCTGGGACTCGTCGCGTGCACTCTCCCAAGGCCTGGGGAGCGTTCTTCCAGGTCCTTTGCCGCTTGATTCTTCGCGATACAGTAGGGGCCAGACCACAAGAAACCTTCCACAAAATACCCAACCCTTAGACCCCAGGACGTCCATCGATTTTTGGTGTGGGAACGTCACGCTTTACATGGCAAAGCCATTGAAACCTGAGAAACCCAGGGCACCCTGGAGGCAAGCAAGTTGTTTCCTGACATGGGCCCCCACGGTAACGGGCACGCCCCCCCCGATCTCAGCACGGCGGGGCGGCGCCGTGAGCACCGAAGCGCCCCCTGCGTGCACAACCGAGGCCCGCGAGCACGACGGCGCGCCAGAGAGCACCGCAGAGAACGCGGAGAACCTCGCCCCAGTTGATGGGCCCATTTTCCACCACGACTACCATAGGTAGGAGAGGGAGAGGAGGAGGAGGAGGAGGAGGAGGAGGAGGAGGAGGAGGAGGAGGAGGAGGAGGAGGAGGAGGAGGAGGAGGACCTCCTCATCCTCCCTTCTCCCCCGCCCTACACATGGTAGTGGTGGTGGAAAACTTGCCCATCACCAGTGGGGCGAGGCTCTTCCAGCATGCCCTCGGGCAGTGCCGAGGCCCGTCCCGGAACCGCCTGGGGGGCCCCTTGAGCCTCCGAGGCCCTCGGAGCCGGCAGCGGGGCCGGGGAGGTCGAACAACCGAATGCCCTCTTAGAACCCAAAGCCCAATCAGCCCAGTGTGAAGAGCATCCCAGGCGCCCAAACAGCCCAGTCAAACAACCAGACGCTCGCCTATGATCCAGGGCCAGGTGTGAAGAACATCCAAGGCGGCCCACACAGCTTCCTGAACTGCCTCAAGAGGCCTCCAGGACGGCCCCGTCACGGGCCTCAAAACCGTACTACTCTCAGGCCGATAGGAGCTTCCTCTGCAAGACGTGCCCAGGTCTCCGAGAGGCCCCCACGGAGCCCCACATTGGCCGGCGTCGCCCGAGGAGTCCCCCGAGAGGCACCTCCAGGGCCCCCCGGGAGGTGCCTGCGGGCGCCTGGGAAAGGCATTTGGGAGGTGCCTGCGGGCGCCTGGGAAAGGCACTGGGGAGGTGCCTGCGGGCGCCTGGGGAAGGCACTTGTGAGGTGCCTGCGGGCGCCTGGAAAAAGGCACTTCTGAGCTGCCTGCGGGCTGCCTGAGGGGCCTCTCCGAGAGGCCTCTCCGAGAGGCCTCTCCGAGAGGCCCCCCGGGAGGCTCCGAGCTGGCCCGCGTCGCCGTCGCCGTCGCCGTCGAGCCGCCACAGGTCGGTGCGCGCCTCGTCCACGCCTCGGGGGCTCTGCCACCCCACCACGGGAGAGGCGGCTGGCGCCTCCTTGCGGGGCGCGTTGTCGTCGTCGTCGTCGTCGTCGTCGTCGTCGTCGTCGTCGTCGTCGTCGTCGTCGTCGTCGTCGTCGTCGTCGTCGTTGAGGGTGGCACTCGTCGTCGTCGTCGTCCTGGTCGTGGCCCTGGTCGTCGTCGTCGTCGTCGTCGTCGTCGTCGTCGTCGCCGCCGCCGCCGCCGCAGCCGCCGCCGCCGCGGCCACCGCTGGAGGAGGGAGGATTAAGGTTTTGAGTGGTTGTGTGGAGCCGTGGGTGTTCAATGGGTCACTGTGGTTCAATGAGCGGGGGGGATCGGGATATGTTCAGGCCTACAATATTACCGCAAGATTACCCAGGGTCTGGGAGGCTGTGGGGGCAGGATGAAGCGGAGGAGCAGCGCTCGCATGTGTTGTTCACATGTTCTTGTTCTTTGTGTGTGCGTCTGTGCGTGCATGCGTGCGTGCATGCGTGCGTGCGTGCGTGGTGTGTGTGTGTGTGTGCTGTTTTCTGTGGGATCTAAGCGGTTGTCGGGATTCCGAGATGGAAGACGAACATGACAATTGTTGTAGGAGGAGCTCCTGCGAGATGAAGTTACAGAGCCGACCAAAGCCCGCCTTCGACTCTGACTACTGGAAGATTTGGGAGATTTCCCCAAATGATGAGCTCCCAGTTGTCCTGAGAACGCTGTGGACGTGCCTTAGACTATGCGAATCCGTCCATGGCTGGAATAGCAGTTTCAAATGAGACAAACAGTGGGCAAAACACCGTCGCTGCACTGAAGAGAAATGCCTTTGTGATTGACGTCGCGCAGACTAGAGGCAGTCATGCCATTCACCTCAGCGCACAGACCTGGAAAAGGTAATTCGCTTCCACACCTAAATCAGCTGTAATCCAGAATCGGCCAGCAAGCTGACACCCTATCACAGTGGTGCTCAGGCTCCAAGTTCACTGGCGCACTGGGTGGGCGTTCTGGCCGAAGGGGCTCCACGCCTGCTTAATCCAATCTCAGCCAGAGCGAGGGGAAAGGCGAGGTGGGAGCACAAACTAAAATCCCAGCAGCCCTCTGGGCGTGAGCGCTTCCCCCCTCTTCCCCTTCGGGAAGGGGCTTATCACTGTTCCCTATTAATATACCCCCCCTCCTCCAACCGGCTGGCGCCCAACCCAGAACTATGCCAACTCCATGAGGGCCCGCCCTCCCGCCATCCCTGTCAAAAACAATGATAAAGATGCACTCCGCCTCCGCATTTGGAGCATGCGCGGCCGCCCCGCGACAATTTTGTATAGGTGTTTTACAAGGACGGCTGGGGTGCCAGCAGATCCCACCTGCCTTCTGGGCGCAGGTGGTCGACCGACTTGTTTGACACATCAGTGGCTGCTGTCTTTTCGCCTTATCGTTTCCGATGAGCTTTCGAAACCTACAAATGGCTCCAAAATTGGCCAAGAAAGCTCCGAAGTCGGGCTCAAGAGGCTTCCAAGCCGGCCCAGGAACGCGCCAAGTTGGCGCCCAAAGGGCGCCAAGTGGCGGTTTTGAAGGCCCCAGAGGGGGAGGCCTCCTGGTGGATGGCCCAAGAGAGCTCCAAGTCGTGCCCACGAGGCCTCCGAGACGGCCCCAAGAGCGCCCCAAGGTGGCCCAGAGATGGCCTCAAGAGGTTGTTTTGAAGGCCCCCGAAGGGGGGCTAGCCCCAAATAGGGGGGGCCTTATCGTTTCCGACGAGCAGTTGCGGCTTACGGAGGTGGAGCCCCTATTGGTGCCCAGTGGCTGGCGCACCTGGCGCCGCTGGAGCACGTGGAACGCTGAGCGCACGTGGAGCACGTGCCGCACCTGGCGCGCCCGGCGCGCTTGGGCCTCCAGGGTCTGGTGCATATATGGAACCCGTGGCGTCTGCGGCGTTCTTGCGCGATATGCTGACTCCCGGGTGTTACGTATGTGTTGGGAGGGCGGGTGGGAGTGAGCTAGACAACTTGCGGGCGGGTGGGTAGCTTGATCACTGTTCACTATTAATAAACACCTCCTCCCCCACCCGGCCGGCAGCCAACCCGGAACCACGCGCACACCATGAGGGCGCCCCCCCACCATCCCTGTCGAAAAACAATACAAAACGCACTCTGCCTCCAAATTCGGAGCATGCGCAAACAACCCGATGCGGGCCACCCCCGCCATCCCTGTCGAAAAACAATACGCAATATACGTTGGGGCAAAATCTGGAGTCATGTTCGTGAGGCCCGCGGGCACTTTGTATGGTTGTTCGACAAGGACGGCGGGGGTGTCAGCATATTGCCTGCTGCGCGCAGGGCTACCATCCCTGACAAAACACAATACAAAATGCACCTCGGGGATAAATGTGGATAGTGCGCGGCCACCCCGCGATCATTGTCAAGTGGTTTTTGTCAGGGACGGCGGAGGTGGTGGCGTATGGCCTGCTGTGCGCAGGCCCACCAGACACAATGATGGGCATTGGTTTTCGACAGGGATGGTGGGGGCCGACATGTTTCCCGATGTGTGCTGTCACACGCGCATGCGCACCTGACACACTCTGCACGTGCCCCGGACGTGGCGCACCTGGCGCGGCTGGAGGGAGCATCTGGCGCATTAGGCGTGCCTGGCCCGCTCGGGCCCCAGGGGTGCCTGGCGCGCGTGGCGCGCCTGGCACGCGTGGCGCACCTCGCCGCAACGTCGCGCACATGGACTCGTTTTTGGTTCCCAATGTCCATCAAAAGACGACCGCGGAACATGCTGAGGCTCGGGTGTTACTTATGTGTTGGGAGGGCGGGTGGGAGTGAGCTAGACGGCTTGCTATCTGGAGGGTGTCTTGACCCCTGCCCCTACCCCCTCCCCTGGACCTGGACGGGGGGGTTCGCGAGCGGTCGAAGCGTTCAAGAGGGCCCAAGACGACTCCAAGAGGGCCTCATAGAGCCCAAGTTGTTCAAGATAGCGCAACCAGCGTGCTCCAAGAGGCCCCAAGAAAGTTCCAAGACGGCCCCAAGAGGCCGCCGAAACCTCCAAGGAGGCCCCCAAGAAGCCACAATCCTTCAAAAACCTAAGGAACATCAATGATTAGTGCATCGTCGCGTGTTCGCTTTCGAGAGTCTTCCGAGGCCTCAAGATGGCTCCAATATAGCCCCACGAACGCCCAACAAGTGCTCCAAGAGCGCCCCAAGAGGCGATGAGTGGGGCTCCCGAAGGGGGACGCTATTCGACTCTCCCCTCTTTTTTGATCGATGTCTTCAAAGATGGCTTCACGAGCGCCCCTAAGCCCCCAAGAGCGCCCCAAGAGGGCCCCAAGAGGCGCCCAGACGGCTCCAAGAGGCCTCCAAGAGGCTCCCAAGAGACCTCCGAGCGGCCCCAAGAGGATCTCCAAGGCACTCAAGACGCTCAAAGATGGCCCTGGGCCCGCCAAGATGCCCCCTAGAAGCCCCCGAGAGTTGCGCCTAAGTGAACAAGTTATGCGTAATGTGTTTACGTCGTGTATTTACGTAGTGTATTTCCGTAATGTATTTGCGAAGTGTATTCGCGTAATGTATCTACGTAGTGTATTTACGTAAAATTATCCCGGCAAAGCAACCTAACAGCGATGTGTAGAAGCATATCTGAAAGCATTCCCCTTAAGATTCAGATGAAAATCCAGTTGTCGAATTCTGCTGTTCTCGCAGTCGTAGTCGCATTCGCGATGACAGTCGCAGCGGCAACGGCAGTCGCAGTCACAGCCTCAGCCTCAGCCTGCCTCCTCCTCCTCCTCCTCTTCTCCTGCTCCTCCTCCTCCTCCTCCTCCTCCTCCTCCTCCTCCTCCTGGTCGTCTCGTCCTCCTCGGCTCGTCTCTCCTCCTTCTCTCCTCCTCCCTCCTCCTCCTCCTCCTCCTGGTGGTCCTCGTTCTCCTCCTCCTGGTGCTCTCCCCCCCCCTCCTCCTCCTCGTCCTCCTCCTCCTCCTCCTCCTCGTCCTCCTCCTCCTCTTCCTCCTCCTCTCCTCCTCCTCCTCCTCCTCCTCCTGGTAGTCCTCCCCCTCCTCCTCCTCCTCCTCCTCCTCCTCTTCCTGGTCGTCCTCGTTCTCGTCCTCCTCGTCTTGCTCGTCCTCCTCCTCCTGGTGCTCCTCCTCCTCCTCCTCCTCCTCCTCCTCCTCCTCCTCCTCCTCCTCCTCCTCCTGGTGGTCCTCGTTCTCCTCCTCCTGGTACTCTCCCCCCCCCTCCTCCTCCTCCTCCTCGTCCTCGTCCTCCTCCTCCTCCTCCTCCTCCTCCTCCTCCTCCTCCTCCTCCTCCTCCTCCTCCTCCTCCTCCTCCTCCTCTTCCTGGTCGTCCTCCTCCTCCTGGTCGTCCTCCTCCTCCTGCTCGTCCTCCTCCTCCTCCTGCTCGTCCTTCTTCTCCTGCTCCTCCTGCTCCTCGTCCTGCTCCTGCTCGTCCTCGTCCTCCTGGTCTTGCTCGTCCTCCTCCTCGTCGTGCTCTTGCCCCTGCTGAAAATGTGGCCCAGGAATGGGAGTTCTGGGAAGTCGAAGAGCACGAAGTTGCCTACAGTTGGCCTGGCCCAGTTCTGGGAACTCGAAGAGCACGACACGGGCATTCAAAATGTGGCCCGGGAATGGAGTTCTGGGAACTCGAAGAGCACGAAGTGGCCTACAGTTGGCTCCGGGCATTCAAAATGTGGCCCGGGAATGGAGTTCTGGGAACTCGAAGAGCACGAAGTGGCCTACAGTTGGCTCCGGGCATTCAAAATGTGGCCCGGGAATGGAGTTCTGGGAACTCGAAGAGCACGAAGTGGCCTACAGTTGGCTCCGGGCATCCAAAATGTGGCCCGGGAATGGAGTTCTGGGAATCGAAGAGCACGAAGTGGCCTACAGTTGGCTCCGGGCATCCAAAATGTGGCCCGGGAATGGCGTTCTGGGAACTCGAAGAGCACGAAGTGTGTGACTGTTGCATCCGGCCCCCCAGAATGTGGCCCGGGAATGGCGTTCTGGGATGTCGAAGAGCACTTTGTGTGTGACTGTTGCATCCGGCCCCCCAGAATGTGGCCTGGGAATGGAGTTCTGGGAAGGCGAAGAGCACGAAGTGTGTGACTGTTGGTGAAAAACGAGCCCGGCTCATGCCGCCCGGAAACGCCCCAACACCTGCCCGGACCCCCCTGTGGAGTGATCTGTGAGCTCTTTTGAGACCACTAGAAACCTATCAGTCTTCGCTGTTAGGTAAATATTTGCGCAATGTATTTGCGTAGTCCATTTTACGTAATGCGCTTGCGTAGTGTTTACGTGTAGTGTGTTGGCGCAGTGCGTTGGCGTAGTTTGTTGGCTTACTGCTCCAGCGTGGTGTACTTGCGCAGTATTCTCGTGCATGGTATTAGCGTCGCCGATTGGCGTGCAATACTTGCGTGGAATATGTGCGCAGTGCATTTCGCGTAGTGCATTTCGCCGCGTGGAATTCGCTTCCCGCGTAGTGTTGTCTCATAGTGTCTTCGCGTCGCGCGTTTGCATGATCGATCCACAAATTCGGGAAGGGATTCATAACTGCGAGGTCTGGGGACGCTGCGAAGCACCCCGATCGGGCGATGGGCAATGGCAATGCTGGAGATGTCCGTGGTGACGCTACTGCTCCGGGGGCTGTGTCGTGCTCCCCTGCGCTATGCCGCGCCACGCTTGGACGTGAAAGGGAAAGCGCCACTTCGTGCATTTATGCAGTGTATCTGCGTAATGTTTTTTGCGAAGTGTGTTTGCGTAGTGTTTTCCGTAGTGTATTTGCGTGGTGTATTTGCGACATGTTTTAGCGTCGTGCTTTTGCGTAGTGTTTCCGCGTAATTTTTGGCGTAGTGTTTTTGCGTATTGCTTGTGTGTAGTGCGTTGGCGTAGTGTGTTGGCGTACTGCTCCCGCGTGGTGTACTTGCGCAGCGCTTTCGTGCGTGGTATTAGCGTCGCTGTTTGGCGTGCAGTGCTTGCGTGGAATATTTGCGTTGTGTATTTCGCGTAGTGCATTTCGCCGCGTGGAATTCTCTTTCCGCGTAGTGTTGTCTCATAGTGTCTTCGCGTCGCGCGTTTGCATGATCGACCCACAAACTCGGGAAGGGATTCATAACTGCGAGGCCTGGGGACGCTGCCAAGCACCTCCATCGGGCGATGGGCAGTGGCAATGCTGGAGATGTCCGTGGTGACGCTTCTGTGCCGGGGGCTGTGTCGTGCTCCCCTGCGCTGTGCCGTACCGCACTTTGGCATGAAAGGGAAAGTGCCAGGTCATGTATTTGCGCAGTGCTTGTGCGTAAGGTACTTGCGTAGTGTGTCCCGCGTACCGCATGGGCGTAATTCTCCGCATGGAGTTGGCACGTGCCTTGCGCAAGAGCGCGTGGGCATCGGCACGCTACCCGAAAACGCTGACGCAAACCACTACTGCAGGTTCGTGCCGTGTCGACCCTGGCGTTGGTTCCTGACACCGCGCTGGATCGTTCAACCTTGAACGATCGGCCGTCTCCGCAACGTCCGATCGTTCAACATCGATCGATTCTGGGTCGCCCGCGGCGTTCAACCTTGAACGCCCGCGCTGGGGTCGCCGCTGGTCGACACGACGCAAACCTACCGTACGCAGAAGAAGGAAAAACCGCGCGCAAACGCCACGGTCGGCCGCGCCTTCCGGCGAGCGGCGCCCGAGTCCGCAGGGAGCGGGCCGTGCTGGAGCGACGCCGGGCGGCCCCGCGTCGGCACGCGACCCGAAAAAGCACCACGCGAAAGCACTACTGAAGGAGATCGGGGGCACACAGATAAAGACGCACAAAAATAAAAGGGTTCCCCCTATTTTCCCGTATTTTCTGGGTTTTTGCCTTCCCCCCCACTTCCCATATTTTCCCATCTTTTCTAGGGAATCGACGATTCATTGTGTCTGTGTGCTTTTTCCCTCCTGATAACACCACGGTCGCCCGCGTCTCTCGCGAGCCTCGCCCGAGTCCGCAGGGGGCGGGCCGCCGTGGCGCCGAAGGGGCGCCCTGCGTCGGCGCGCCACTCGGAAGCACTGCGTGAAACCACTGCGCAGAGAAAAAGGCCAACCATGCGCAAACGCTTCGGCCGGCCGCGTCTCCCGCGAGCGGCGCCCGAGTCCGGAGGGAAAGGGCCAGTGGAGCGCCGCAGGAGCGCGTCGGCATCGGCACGCGACCCGAAAAGTGAAAACACTACGCAGAGAAGGGAAAACCACGCGCAGACGCTACGGTCGGCCGCGTCGGTACTACCACGCCACATGGAAACGCTGCGTGAAAACACTACGCGGAGGAAAACAACAAAAAACACGCGCAACCACTGCGGTCGCCCGCGTCACTCGTCAGGGCCGCCCGGGTCCGCAAGGAGCCGGTCGCTGAAGCACTGCAAGAGCGCCCTGCGTCGGCACGCTAACCGAAAACACTACGTAAACACACTACGCCCGCGGGAACTCCGCCAGGAACGCCGAGGGAGCACCGCGGAAGCGCCCTGGGGAGGTATTACGTCGTGTTCTTGCGTTGTGTTTTTACGTAGTGTTTTTACGTAGTGTTTTGTACGTAATGTTTTTACGCAGTGCCTGTCTCACGTTTCAGCATTTTTATTCCACCATTGAAAGTACCATTACGCAAAACCGTCCCCCCTAGACGCCTGGCAAGTCGCGACCTGTGGCACGAGACCTGTGGTACGCGACCTGTCGGTGATGGTACTCGAACTGTGGTACGCGACCTTGCCGGGTCGCACTTTGGCCGTCCAGGTCGAGGAAGGAAGTGGGAGGAGGAAGTAGGACGATGCGCCCAAGAGACCCCAAGGAGCCCCCAAGAGGCCCCAAATAAATCCCAATCAGCTTCCAGTATGCATCCAAGACGCCCCAAGAGTTTTTTGTAACCGCCACAACGTTCCCAAGACGACCCAAGGAGCATACAAGCGCTCAAGAGATGTCCTGGAGACGCCGAGAGGCATCCAAGAAGCGTCTAATCATTATGTTCGCCCTCCTTCTCCTCCTCTTCCTCCTCCTCCTCCTCTTCCCCCTCCTTCTCCTTCTCCTCCTCCTCCTCATCCTCCGGCTCCTCCTCATCAGCAAATTGATCATCCTTTCCCTCCTTCCTCCTCTTCCTTCCTGCCCTACTGTGGCCCGCAACAGGAAGAAACGAGGGGAAGGGGTGCGGTGCGCCTCGCAAGCACGGCGGGCAGGCGGCCGCAGCGCCGGCCCGAGCCGCTCGCGTGCCTGACCGGGGGAGGGATCTCGGCGAATTTGCAGGCGCGAAGATTCGGGGGCGACGATGGGGGCGAAGAGCCCGGGGGAGAACAGTATGTGTATCCAAGGGCGCCGATGGTCGATGCCTCCGGCGAAGCTCCCGGGCGAATGCGCGCATTGCCCGCCCCCTGGGCTACTGGCCCCCATCGTCGCCTCGGGAAGGTAGAGGCCTCGGAAGAAACTAGCGGGCACTCATGCCACACTCTTGGCAGGCGCGAAGATAGCTCGGAAGAAACAAGCGAGCACTCATGCCACATTCTTGGCAAGCGCGAAGATACCTCAGAAGAAACTAGCTGTTGGCGGCGGGATGAATGGGTTGCACGTCGACCGCAGTCTTCCCCGCGCGTGCCAACTTTGAGTTTGAGCGAGAGGGGGGGGTCCACTAATTGTGTCCCTCTACTGTAGAGGCCTCCCAGATGGGGTCCGACTAGATGGGGTTGGAAGGTTGCGCTGCATCGGCGATGCATTGGCCTGTGCATCGGTGACGCCGGCTTGAAGAATATTGGGTTTTTTATTGAGCCGCATTCTTGATGCATTGGCAATGCCGCGTGATCATCCAACCCCGGCTGCCCCGTCCCCATCTAGGAGGCCTGGACTCGATCCATCTGTGCGCTTCCTGAAATGGGGGGGAAGGTTTCCCGCCCTCCCGCCCCACCCGCGCCCCTGGGCGGGCGCCATGTTGGTTCTCCGCGCCCTCCCTCTCATCATCCCGCTCCAACCCCATCCGACGGCGGGGCGGCTCGCGCGGCAATCGACGGCCCCCAGAAGGTCGCTGTAACGGGTGGGCCCAAGACAGATGCTCGGGAGAGCGGCCCCGGCCCCGGCCGCCCTGGTCTGGGCCGCATCCCCCCCCCCCCCGCGCCCCTCCCTCCCGCCCCCGTTGACGAGGGCCCTGGAGGGGGGGGGGGGGGGAAGGCGCGTGAGGGTGCAAATGTTCTGTGCTCCTGGAGATGACCAGAACCCCCCTCTGAGCCTCTCGGAAGGAGCCGCAGAAGGATTCCGGCGCGAACGATGCTCGCTGTTTGCCCACGGCAGGCAGGTGCAAACCTAGCTGGTCCCGCCGAATGGCGCCCGAATGCCGCCAGGGGTGGCAACCGTGCGACACTGATAGCACGTTGGATCCCATTGCCCAAAGTGCTAACATTTAATCAGAACGGCCGCCACCTTGTGGCCATGGGTGCAAGGCGTGCTACGTGAGAAGAGTTGGCACAATGGCCGTCTGCTCGTTGACACCAGACTGCCTCCGAAGCCCCGTGATTGCCTCCAAGGCGCGTCAACGCCTGGTAACAATCCAAGGAGGTCACACACGTCCTCAACAAACCCAACATCTACCCCAGACGCCCCCAGGACGGCTCCAAATAGATCCAGACAGTCTCCAATAGTTCCCCAGAATCTCTTCGGAAGGCCGTCGACATGTCGAAATCATTGAGCACCAACTTTACTCTGGGGCTTGGGCGATGCCCTTATAACTGCCTCCAAGAGGCCCCCGAGAAGCCTCCCACGAGATCCAAACGAACATCCAATAGGCTTCACATCCACAACCCAAGCACGGTGGCTGGATAGGCCGAAAGTGCCCAATGTTTGAGCCCTGCGATCCGCGTACATCTTCACTCTCACCCACTCCTGGCCTCCGCTCCTCTTCCTTGCCATCCATATTCCCCCGATCGTTTCCTCCACCCATGGCGGCGTCTCCCCTGTTACTGAGGTGACCCGACGACCCGCGTCACACATTTTTTCCAGCGCGATTTTGGGAGAAGAAGGAGGAACGCAGAAGGGAATGAAGCGCGAATGAACAGAGCCGAGTGTGTCTCGTCTGCGTGGCCGATTGGCGTTGTGCACTGGACAACGACCTGTGCCGAATATGCGGCTCTTGCTCTTTTCTGCAAGCGATGTGTCGCGTCGGTCTAAATCAACGCCCACGGAAATCACAATCTCATTACCCCCTGCAACTGTGCTCCAGACCCAGCAATACGGTTGAAGGAAAACACTTTGCGACAAACGTTGAAGAACCACTTCACGTGACCCCCCCTCCTCCCCCTGGCCTCAATATTGAACAGGCGTTACTGGAGAAGTGTGGCCGACAAAATCTGGAACCCAGCTTCTCGAACGCAGTACCCGCCAATGTTAAGGCCGAGGGGTGGAGGGGGGCATTTGGCTCTCTCTAGCTCAAGCGCTGGTGCTGCAACAATTGTTTCCTCAACCGTGGGAGCGGACCGTCAGGGCAAAACGCCGCCACGACGCTCAGCACCGCGCAGGGTCGTTCTGGGCCATCGGGAGGGCCTGCTTCGTGATGGCAGCGGGGCGGAGGGAGCGTCCACAACTTCGGCTCCACCTACGTATCCACATCAGTCTCCAAGGCTCAATTGAGCCGTTCACAGCGGGTTCGTGTCGTGACGACATCGGCGATGGTTTCTGACAAGGCGGGTTCGTGTCGTGACGACTTCGGCGATGATTTCTGACACCGCGTGGACCGTTCAAGCTTGAACGATCGCGGCTTGCAGACGGCGCAGATCGTTTGATGTCGGCCGAATCTGGGCCGCCAACAACGTTCAACCTTGAACGCCCGCGCTGGGGTCGCCGCCGCGTCAACACGACACGAGCCTACCGTAGCAATACCAATCTACTAGGCCTCAGTAAGGCCATCCCGCCGTCCAACCCAGCCAGTGCAATTACAGCAACGGCAAGGTGGTACAGAAATCATGCATGGTGGTGAACACTTGCCGTCAGCGGTGGAGCACGAAGAATTCGTCTCAGCTTTCCTCGCCTGTCTGTTGCTGTCGATGATGGCCTGGCTCGTACAACCACCCGCGAGAACGGCGATATGGCCGACAGATTGGTTGCGAATCTTGAAAGCCACTCGTTGAGCCGACAGTTGCACACTTACAGAGCGTACAGCCGCAATGTACCAAGCTGGGTGGGGCTCAATGTGTTGGCTACAACCCCCTGGAATAAAAAGTCCGGACCGCAGAGGTCGGGGAATAAGCCTTGATGTTCGGCTCCCGTTAGGCCACGGGGCCCCAGTACAATGTTGCAGGGGCCGCCATGGTTAAATTTCCAGTCCATCCGCACCCCCTATAATATTATAATCGCCAAATGGGGTGACGACCGGAAATCCGCATTCCGCCTAATACTTCCTCCCAAAAAATTTCCGGACGCTTTTCAGGCGACCGGGAATTCTCAGTGGCGACCGAAAATTGGCGATTTCGCTTGGGACTGCCTCGCAAATAAATTTCCGGTCCCAGTTATGTTGCTTGGAAGTTGCGATTCTGCTTGGTACTTCTTGCCAATCATGTTTACCTCTCGGGGAGCGACGATGCAAGGGGGCCTGCAGTGCCGATCCGGACTTTTTAATCCAGGGGGTGGTAAGCTTCAAACACGCTGCTTGGCTGCCGCTCCCATTGGAGCGCACAACTGCCCAGCAAACGCACGGTGCATGGCATTGACCTTTGGGCCTAGCAACTATACTAGGATGGGGGATTGACAACGCGTTATTCACCGTGCGACCCTACTGCCACCAAGCGGAGCACATTTACTAAATGCCACTGCTAATTAGCTCCACGTTAGTACTCAACCCAATGTCAGCCCGCAACACCTCCTGTCAGTCATAATCTCGCCGCTCTCTTCTTGTTGTTTCCGCTCCAAAGTACTCGTATCGTGGCTATTATGTGCCCAGACCTGCACATCTTTGAATAATCATAACGTCGGAGGTCTGTACCAAAACCTCCAACGTTCTGATTATTTCAACAAGTGGGCGATTCCGGAAAATCTGAACCCAAACACGTTTTCATCTCTTGGGGACACATCTGTTACTTCCGCCGCATTCCGCCGAGCTTCCGCCGCCCTTCCGCCGAGGAAGAGATGACAATTCCTTCGATCCTCGAAGGCAAGGCCATTTCTGGAACGCCTCAAGCAATGAGTTTGGAGCTCTGTCAGAGCGTCTTCTGTGGGCGCTTGAAATTGCATGGGGGAGGGGGAATCCCAACTGGCTCCGTCGAACTGCTTCTCCACCCACTCCCTCCTAAAGTCGGTATCATCCCCTCCGCAAACCTCTCAGCCGATGTGAAAGCGCGCCGAGATCACGAGCGCCGAAATTCGGCACGGCGCCTCCGCTGCCATTCCGCCAGCCCGCGGCTTCCAACACATCTTGAGCGGAGGTTCGACCTCCGTTCTGTTCTGGCGATGTTTCCTCCGTTCTGCATGTTTCCGTTCATCCGCCGAGATCTCGAAAACGTCCTGGTGACCTACCGTCGGATGAATTCGAACCCCGAAAAGCCTTACCAGACGGTTCGCCACCCTCTGGGTTTGGGGACTTTGGAGGCCCCAGGATCTCGAGACATCCTTGGAGAGCGATCCAAGTCCCTAAACGGTCCGCTCACCCCGCATCGCCCGTGTCGCACCCGGTATCACTCGTCGGTGTGGTCACCTGGCCGCCTTTGGGGGACATCCGAATCAACATTGGCTTCATTGTTACAGTTACCTGCTGGCCTCTTGGAGCTGCCGCCCACCAGCCTCTGTCCCTGGGGAGCGGTGGGCAGACATGCTTTCCCTTCCTCACGGGCTGGCGATGGACGATAATCCACCGCCCCCCGAAGTCCTGGGGCACGACTCCAAAATAGTGGATACGCAAGTGCGCTCTGGCGGCGGATCCTGCCGCCCGAACCGGACCCGACCCTCGACACTTTGCTGGGGGAGCCATCTGCGCTGCTTCCCGGGTTCAGGGATCCCCAGTTCGGGTGACCCTGCTCTAACGTGGTTTTCGAACAAAAACGCCCATCCCTAATGCGTGAAGTGGGCCCAACTCTGGCCCCAAATTCAAACTTCGAAGCGTTCGACGCGGGGGAGTGCGAGTCCTTCTGGAAAAACGCCCGCACTTACAAACCGCGGCCTGTGCGATTAGGTGAACATTGAGATTGAGTGCGCGGGGGGGGGCGCTCTTGCGCCATCTTCTGGTCGTTGTGCTACCTGGCCGTTTTTGTGTTCGAAAACACCAGTAGCTCTCGAAGCGTCCAATCTCTGGGAGCAGCTGGTGCTCAGGGCGCTCCTCTGCGAGTCTCTGGTGTCCACCCCTCTGCCAGTGACCCTGCCCGCGGGTACTGGCACCTCCTGCACGTCGTGCAGCAGCAGCAGCTCGATGGATCGCTCCTCCCGCAGGAGGGTGTAAGAGGAGGGAGCAGGAGGAGATCCCAAACTAAGCGAAAAAGATTATCATGCGGGGTTCTACCGGTGAAGTCATTTGCCAGGGATTCTTCAAGACTGATGATCTTTATACGTCCAGTGGGGCTCTTATTTTCTCTGCACCCGCCCAGCGCTCCTCCTACGCCCTCCTCCCCCCAACACTCCGCTCGGGCGAGGGAAGCACCGTGGGGTATGGGACTCGAGTCCAGCAGGGGCAGTGGCGGGGTGTTTGAATGCACGGCTTCGGTTCTGACCCCCCTCGCCTGCAAGCAGCTCCTGCCCGAGTGGACCTGCTCGGTCTGACACGGCGAAGAGTAAGCGGTCATCAGACGTCGTCGATACTGGATTGATCGGCAGAGAGAGAGAGAGAGAGAAAAAGAGAAAGCCACGCGTATACACAGACCAAGCGCTTCGCAAATTGTGTCACTCTCTCCGCCACATTGGGGAACGAATACATGCCCTTGAATTCCGTGTCAAGACGCATGCTACCGCGCGGACCCGGCTGCGAAACCAAACGCAGGCACGGCAGACGCATGCCGTGCAAGTCTGGCGAGCCCTGTGCTGCAGGGAGGCGCGCTCGCAGCAGGACTGCCAGCTGGGTGTCGAGTGGCATCAACGTGACAACATGACCATGCGAGGTTCGGGGGTGACAGGAATATCGATGTGTGTGTGTGTGTGTGTGACAGGGCAAAGCCGTTCTGTCATGTGTATGAGGGTTGCGTCTTGTAGCGAGATGTACGTTTGGAGACTTCCGCCAACGCACCTGATACGGCCGCGAAATGCTGACGTCGGCGATAATGCCGCCCGGCTTGAAGGACCCCCAAGGCGTTCAGAAAGCTTTCCAGAACAAATTCTGGGGTCAAGTGCAATGGCGGCTTCTCTGAATCAGGGCGAGGGACGCGACGTTCATGTCCTCAGTGTGCGAATGATAGAGACGCTGGCCGCACCAGAACAAGCAGAACGATCAGGGCCTCCTCCACCCGAATCCCCTCCTCCTCCTCCTTTCTCCTTCCTCCTTCCTCCTTCCTCCTTCTTCCTTCCTCCGTCCTCCGTCCTCCTTTTCTTTCCCCCTTCCTCCTCCTCTTCCTCCTACTCCTCCATCTTTTTCATTTTCATTATGAAGAGCTTATCCCTGTCTCACCTCCAGGCGTGTTGGTGGGGCGTGCCGGACTTTTTACCTGAGACCTCCTCACCACTTGCGACCCTGAAGCTTGAAATTTGTAACTTTTCCCAACATTTCAACATGTGGCTCTCGCCTTCGAGCCGCGCACACTCGTCTTTCACATTGTAGCAACTTCAAGGATGGAGGGCGCCAATTTTCAAATTGTAGCTGCCGCCTTAGCGCCGCGTACATTCCTTTTACAATGTTCCAACAATCTCGAATATAGATGGCGGCCGGTTTTCAAAGTGTGGCTCTCGCTTTGACGACGCATTCGTCTTACAACTTGTGACAGCTTCAAGGATGGAGCGCGGCCGGTTTTCAAAATGTGGCTATCGCCCTAGCGCGGCGCACATTCGTTTCAAACGTTTACATCCTTTTTAAGGACTCGTATACTTGAAATACTACTTGTGTGTCTGGGAAGATGTAGACATGCCAGTGCGCAACAGTCACGTTGATTCGTGGCGTTGTAATGGCAGGAATTGTGTTCTGGTACTACTTCAACTTGTCAAGGCGCAACCAACAGTCACGTTGATTCGCGGCATTGAAGTGGCAGGAATGGTCCCCTGGCAAGATTTAGGATTGTCAAGACTCAACAGTCATGTTGATTCGCGGCGTTTGTGTCCCACCAAGAACGGTTGGCACGATTAAAGATTCTCAGACCGTTGTCTTCCAATGGGGCACCTCCCGCAATGAAAACACATTATTGTAGAGACTCATGGTGCCTCGTACGGTCCCCGGCCAACTTCCCGGCAACTCTCGGATAACTCCCGGGCGGTCGGTGTCACGGATGCTGGAACTCCTGGACCCCTTGGGTGTGGTCTTCGGGGCCCTCAAGATCGCCCCAGGAGCGCCCCAAGCGAGCTCCAAGAAGATCCTAGAGTCGGCATTACCAGGTTGCAGGCCTGAAAATGGTCGAAACTAATCCCAAGAGGTCTCAAGATAGCCCCAAGATCGTCCCACGAAGGGCTGAGAGGGCCCCCAGAGGCCAATATTCATTGACTTCCCTTCGGTTTTGGAAGGAGTTTGGCGCTACCGTCTTTTCGGACTTCCGACCGCCCCAGACGGCCCAAGAGGCCCCCAAGATCACCCCAAGTCAGACCGAGAGGCTCCCAGGACGGCCCCAAGACAGCCCAAGAGGCCTTCCACGAGGGCCCCAGAGGCTCACAACGAAGCCCCAAGACGGGAAATCCGAACTGACATGTCGAACCTTTCCCGGAAAGATGTCCCCCGAGACCGCCAGCAGGCCCCTGGAGGCGCGAAAGACCCCCCCAATGAAGCCCTCAAGATGCCACAGGAGGTCCAAAAGAAAATGCCGCCACGAGGCCGCCGAGAGGCCTCCGAAGAGACCCCAAGAAGCCTCCCACAGAGACGTCTTGTCCACGACCCAGTCTGGCTCCAAGAATGCCCCCAGGAGCCATCGAGAGGCCTCGTCCTCATCCTCCTCTCCTCCTCTCGTCCTCCCCCTCCTCCTCCTTCTCCTCCTCCTCCTCCTCCTCCTCCTCCTCCTCCTCCACCACCTCCTCCTCCTCGCTCGCCACGAGCGCACCAGTAGCACCAGTGGTGCAACATGTAACATGCGCCAGCGGAAGAAGCGAAACGATTCAATTCGGCGGGACCCCTGCCGACCTTCGCCGTTAGGCGTCGAGGGTCGAAGATGAGATGGAGGATGATGGAGGCGATTGGGGGGCATGCAAAAGGCATACTACGAGCGGCTTCGCGCATTCCGCTGGCCCGAATATGTTTCGATCCTCGTCGATCCGTTCTGATGAGGCCACTTTCCAAACTCACTTTGGGCACGTGTAGTGTGCTCCCAAGGCTAGGCCCATGTGCGTGACAGCTCCCGGGACGGCCCCACACTCTACTGGGACGCGCGGAAATACGAGTGATCTGCGCTCTCGGGCTCCTGGGAGACGTGCGAAAACGAGTGATTTGAGCCTCGAGGCCCCTGGGATAAGTAAAAATACCAGTGAATTACCCTTTCTATCTGATGGGAACCTCAATTCGGCACACTGGCCCCCGAGACGGCTCCTTGGCGCCTCAATCCGCCGCACCCCTCACGCACGTCGTGCCTCATGGACCCTAAGAGGCCCCTAGCTGGCCTCCAAGACCGCCTAATTCCCCAAGGTGCGCAAATACGCCCCCAAGATACATTGCAACGATTGGTATCGACCCTCGTCAAGGCAGCATCCCTAGCACCCTGGGGGCCCGCCGTGACTCCCGCTCAGCGGGCTTAGCAAATCCGTTTCCCTCGATCACCTCACGCCCAAGCTCTCGCCCCATTCTCGTCTCTTTGTGGGCCCCTCTTCTGAGGGCCCTCTGCGCCTCATGGCGGTCGTCCTGGCAGCTTGTCGGGGCTCTCCTCGGCTCCAAAAACAAAGGGGCGGCGGTGGGGCGCTCAATTACATGAACTCTTGCAGGGACATGTGAGAAGGGAACTTGGAAGGAAGGCGTATTGCAACATCGTTGATGCGCCTTGGGTTTATACTGGTCCTCCTCCTCCTCCTCCTCCTCCTCACCATCACCATCACCATCACCATCACCATCACCATCACCATCACCATCATCACCATCACCACCACCACCACCATCAGCATCAGCATCAGCATCAGCATCAGCATCACCACCACCACCATCACCATCACCATCACCATCAAGATCATCACCACCACCACCACCACCACCACCATCATCATCATCATCATCATCATCATCATCATCATCATCATCATCATCATCATCATCATCACCATCACCATCACCATCACCATCACCATCACAATCATCAGCATCAGCATCAGCATCAGCATCAGCATCGGCATCGGCATTAGCATCAGCATCATCATCATCATCATCATCATCATCATCATCATCATCATCATCATCATCATCATCGTCATCGTCATCGTCATCATCATCATCATCATCATCATCATCATCATCATCATCATCATCATCATCACCCCCCTCCTCGTCCCCCTGTATAGGCGTCCTGGTGGTAAAACTGGTGATTTTTAACTAGGCCGAAAAGACGATTTGTGATGCAGGCCCGTTATGGAACCGCTCTGCCTCGCCACTCCGCCACCAATGCTCGGAGGCGCCAAGGCTTCGCTATGCGCTGGCCCTTCGGCCATGGCAAGAGTCCCTGGAGCAAGAGGCGACCTTGGGCTTGGAGGTGTGACACTGTTGAGGGACAAACAAATCAACACTTCCCCCCTCCCCGCAATTCAAAGTGGGCACGGTTGCGCATGGCCCAGGCCCCTCAGGCGTTCTAGACCGAGGGAACCTGTCCAAAGCACCCAGGTGCTCGCCAGAGCTGGACGATGTAGAATTTTCACATATTCCGCATGCTGGAAGCAACGTGATTATCCTCTAGAAGATCCAAGCCCCTAGAACATCCTAAAACTCTATAAATCCTACACAACCTCCTCCTCGACCCTGTCCTTCTCCACTCCTCTCCCACCTGCTCCTCCCCTCGTCCTCTCCGGGAGGCGAGGGAATGACTGGTGGGGTGGAGGGAGAAGGTCCTCGCCGAAACTGCAGCAAGACCTCCCGCCACAACTCGCCAAAACTCCAAGCTCGCCTTGAGCTTCCTCCTCCTCCTCGTCCTCCTCATCCTCCTCCTCCTTTTCCATCCTGTTTACTTGTAAGTTCGATAGGACGGTCCGGGCATTTCGCCTGAGACTTCCGTACCATGTATGACGCATAAGCTTGAACATTGCAAGTGTTACGCGGACGAAGGGCGGGTCCTTTCCAAGAGGAGGCTCTCGCCCTAGCGCCGCGCACATTCATCATACAAGCTCGCAACAACTACAATGATGGAGGGTGGTGCGTTTTCGAAACGGGGCTATCGCCTTGGCGCCGCACGCGTTGGTCGTAAAAGCTTTGCGTCAGCTCCAGGGATGGAGGGCAACACGTTTTCAAAATGTGACTCACGCCCTTACTAGCGCCGCGCACATTCGTCATACAAGCCCATAGTCCAGCGGTGGACAAACCTCCCTTTGATAAACCTCCCCTTAGTGAAAACGGCCTGGGACCGAAACTAGCGGACCCGGACCCGCAAAAATGATGGCCGCGACGCCCCCTCGCGAACCGAAAACGGCCAATTCCTTAATCGACGTGACAGGGCAGGAGGTCGATCAACCTCCGAATAGTAGCGACAACGATGGAGGGCGTTCGGTGTTCAAGATGTGGTTATGGCCGGGGGCTTTCTCGAAGCTACCCGCCCGAAGCTTGAACACGTGCAGCAACTGCACAGATAGAGGGCGGTTCCGCCCGAGACCTCCTCAGCTGTAAAGACCATGTGTGGACACTTGTGCGACAACGACCCACCCGCGACCCACCCGCGACCTACGCACATTGGTTGAACGACAAAATCGGCGCCTGCGGCGGGCTCGTTGTATCATGTGTGAAACTTGTGCAACAACTGCGCGCACGGGGGCGGCTCTTTTTCAAAAGGGGCTCTCGCTGGGCACCTCGCTGAGCTTCATGACCATACCCTTTCGCAGCCATTATCGGTAATTCGATGAATTCAAGCCATCAGCTCCGTTTCTTGTAAAACATGGCTTTCGCCTGGTTGTTCAACAGGTCGCTTCTCGCAGTGAGGAGTCAGGCTTGCGTATGGACTTCTGAGGAGTGGACTTGGACGGCAGGGTGGATTGCAGCATTGTGAATGCATCCTGGTTTCCTCTGGCCTTCCTCGTTTTCTTGTTGTTGTTCTGCCTCCATCCCCCCTCCTCCTCCTCCTCCTCCTCCTCCTCCTCCTCCTCCTCCTCCTCCTCCTCCTCCTCCTCCTCCTCCTCCTCCTCCCCCCCCCGTCCGCACGCCTCCTCCCCCGCCTCCGCTCCGGGCTCAGGCTGGTGGTCGGTCTGATGTGAAAGCTGACGCAGGCGGTGGCCCTCGCCCTTGGCAAACTCCGAGGGAGAGGGTGGGAACATACACAGCTGCAGGCCGCGCCGCAGGCCGAAGCAAGGCCCTCCCTGAATGTATGGTCGACCCGCGCCGGCCCCGCCGCTCCACAGTATCAGCGTGCACCACAGCGCCTGTGAACACCATAATGCTAGCGCGCACCAATGGGCAGGAATGGGCAGGTGTGAACATCAAAGAGTGCCGGTGTGCACCATAGTGCGTGCATATATCCTGTTGACTGTCTGCACGATACAACCTGTGTGCGCAGGAACGACTGTGTACACCACAAAGTCTTTGTACACCAAAGCTGGTGCTGCAACAAGTTTTGTAAGCACCACAGAGCATGAGTACACTACAAAGCCTGTGTACACCATAGCAGCCGTGTGCACTACACTACAACGCTTGTGTGCACCACGCTGCCTGTGCACATCACGCCGCAAGTGTGCACCACAGCTGCTGCTTCAACACCATGTCTGTGTACCAGTGCCAGTGCACCAGAGTGCTTGCACTATAAAACCTGTGTGCACCTTCAGGGTCCCGACGAAGCCAAAATCCGCACAAGCAGTAGGGACCCCGACCATATCAAATTAACTATGAGAGCTATGTGGCTGCCCGAGGTGCATTCGGCCCCACCACATTTTGGAGCCCGCAATGCCTGCGTGTACCGCACAGCTGTGTTCCTCACAGACTGTGTACACAACAGTGCTTGTGTGCACCACAAATGCTGCAGCAGCATAAGTGTGTGCACCACAGCACCTGTGTACACCACAGCGGCAGTGTACACCACGGGGCATGTGTACACCACCGATGCTGCTGCACCAGGGTATGTGCGCACCACAGCGCCTGTGTACACCACAGTGCCTGTGTACGCCACAATGCTTGTGTACACCACAGTGCCTGTGCACACCACAGATGCTGCTGCAGCAGCTGTGCGCCACAAACCCTCAATGCAAACATACACCCCAATGCCTGTGCAGACTATGCACCTCCGGAAGCCTCCGCACGAGATCAGCAGTCGTCCTGCCAACCCGCTCCCAACCTGGACGCTACCATTCCCCTTCCCCCACCCCCCCGGGAGCAAACCGTGACATTAATGGGCCCCTCCCTCCCTCTCCCCAAGAACGGCCGTCACCGCCGGAGGATGAAAAAAGGGTCCAACGCTGGCACGGTGGTGGGGTCTACTGCAACCAAGCGGATAGCACATACAATGTTGCTTGCTGCAACTTGAGCAGCACGCTGCCCCAAAGTTGATTGAGCAGCACGCATGATTGCTGCTCCCGTTGCTCACCCTGTTGCTCCTGTTAGACAGTCCCTGGTACTCACCCTATTGCTTGCTGCATATTTGAGCAGCACGCAGGATCCTACTCCTGCCGCAATCGAGGGTGTAGCACATATAATGTTGAGATATGTTGAGCAGTACGCAGGATCCTCCTCCTCCTCCTCCTGTTCCTCCTCCTCTTCCTCCTCCTCCTCCTCCCCCTCCTCCTCTTCCTCCTTCTCCTCCTCCTCCTCCTCCTCCTCCTCCTCTTCCTCGTCCTCCTCCTCCTCCTCCTCCTCTTCCTCCTCCTCCTCCTCCTTCCCGCCCTCCCGCCGAATGCACCTCTTGGACACCATCCTGGCTGATCATTCGAATCGGCCTCGGCCGTGGCGACGAGGCGTGCACTCCCAGCGGCAACAACCGGACACAGGAGAGCACCAGCGCGGGGACGTCCATCGACGAGACGCCGAGCAGAGCACCCGCGCGGGCCCTGGGGTACGGCGGGTTCGCGTGGCGATGATGCGGGCGTTGGCTTCCGACACCGCGTGGCTCGTTCAACATTGATCGATCGCGGCTTCTCCATGGCGCAGATCGTCAGATGTCGGCCGAAGCACCGGCGGCGTTCCACCTCGGACGCCCGCGCTCGGGGCGCCGCCACGTCTCCGCTGCGCACACCTGGCGAAGTGAGCATCGTTGCACGGACTCCCATCCCCGTGGGCGTGGCCTGTGCCCCACTGGCCAATCTATCCCCGCAGACGGGGACATAGGCGGTTTCCTTCGGGTCTCGAAGGGTATATCCCCACCTGGGGTGCCGAGGTGGTGGGGGTCTAGATGGGGACGGGGATGGCAGTCGTGGGGGTCTGGATGAGGATGGTGGGGGTGGGGGTCTGGATGGGGACAGTGCTGAGATGGTGGGCGTCGGTGAAACGACGCTGACCGTAGCTCCCCGCGCCAGGAAGGCACCAACTGTACACCAACGCCGATCCTGGCCCAGGATCACCCTGGGCCCAGGATCGGTGTATACGCCCTCCTGCCCTAGGCAAGAAGGCATATACACCGATCCTGGGCCCAGGGCGATCCTGGGCCAGGATCGGCGTTGGTGTATAGTTGGTGCCCTCCGACGCGCGCCCCCCCTCGCCGTCCCGGAGGAGGGCGGAGCGCAGCAACGGCGGCAGCGCGGCGTTCCCGTGGGAGGCGTCCGGCAGCCTGCCGCCCGCCCCCGCCGCGCGGAGGCTGCCAGAGAGAAGCCCTCCGTTGCACAATCAAGATCGACCGTGGGCATTTTTTCTCAAACTCACTCAAGCCATCCTCGCGGCCATGCTTGGTTGATCTATCCTCTGGTGTGGTGCGTGGTCAGGTCACAGATCGGTCGTGAGCATGAAGATGCAAGGCGCCCAAACGACGCCAACCAAACGGCGCTGATATCCGCAACCGTGTCCGCACAGCCCTCCTCGAAGTCAAGCGCAATTCTTTTTATCCGACCCCTTCGCTCCCGAACTTCAATGTTGATGGACGCGCGCAGCGCGGCCCGCAAGGTCAACCAACAAATTGCAGTCGCCAGTGTCGGCGTCGACAATGAAAGTGGGGGCCTGGGGGCGTCGCCATAGCGTGGGAAATACTTGCATTTGACTTCGAGGAGGGATGTAGGCCGCCTAGCTTCGCGCATCGCGCCCCGCGATGCGCAAAGCGCGATTACCTCTCGCGCCCTTGCGCCCTTTCGCCACCCCCTTGGGAACGGGCAGCCGCTCCAGCCCAGATCGCGATGCGTGAAGCGAGGCTATCTTCGCGCCCCCGCGGGTGACCTAGGTGTCACCTGGCACGATGAGGCGTGGTAGATTGTGAACGTTTTCATATTCGGCGTTTCGACATTGGGCGGGAGGGGGGGGGGAGGGGGGAGGGTCTGGCTCCGGACCTCTGCTTCATGCGACTGTTTGCAATAGTGCGTCCTATGGGGGAGACCCCACCTGCTCGAAACAGGCGCCCAAAACAATCAAGATCTACTCCATGTGGGGGGGAGAAGGGGGGGTTCGAGGGCCCGCGCCGATCGGCAGAACAATGAACAAGAAAACGATCACATTGCCAAGCGCTGTCTGGTTCTGCAGCATGTTCAAGGGACCGCCTGCTTCTCGCAGTGCCCATCGGTCGGAAGATGTAGGCGGAACCATGAAATAGGAAAGAATTGAAAGAAGATTGGGTGTCCGCCCGCCCCCTAAAGAAGACGGAAAAGGTGAAGCCACTCGATCATTGAAGTAGGAATGCGCTTAAAGTAGGTTGGAACCTGGGAATCCAAAAATACATACTTTCAACGACCGATGGGTACTCCCTCGCGTGCATCCCTCTCCGCCCCCTCCCTCGGCTCCCTCGGCGGCGCGACGCTTCCCTGGCGCTCTCCAAAGCTTCTAGGATGGCGTCCAACACGGCCCAGGCAGGCTACATAAGGCCACCGAGGTGGCCCAACATGCCCTCGAGACGGTCCAAGATAGGCCCAAGACAGTCCAAGATGGCCCCAAAATGGCCCAACAAGGTTATTGTTCCTTGCGTTTTGGTATTTGTGTCGCATTCTCGCTTTTACGGGCTTCCGTCTTCTCAAGACGGCACAGGCAGCCTCCAAAATGGCGAATCAACGGTCCCAAGGCGGTCCCTAGACTAAGACGACTCGGCGATGGCCAAAGACTGCTCCAAAGGACCCCCAAGACTGGCACAAACGAGCCCAAGACAGCCTCGAGACCGCCCAAAAGGGCGCGGTGAGATCTCTTCACGAAACGAGGACCAGGGGTGCCCGTGCCCCCTCGAAGAGTCGCCAGCCGGTGCTGGGCTGGCACAACGGCGGGACTTGCCGCAGGCAGCTGGACACCAGGGTGCACATGGTAAGGGGAACCAGGACGCATGTAACTAACGGATGTGGATGCAGAGAAGCCTTGCTCCAAAAGATCATCCTAATTGCTGGTTGTGACCGTATCGAGCTTCGCGTGGGTTTCTCATGCAATCCGGTTTAGGAGGCAATTCCTGGGAAGTCTCGTTGGAACGATGAAGGGGGTTAAGCCCGATGAGAGCGCCACTTCACCGGATAAAGCCGAATTAACCCCGGAATTGAGCCGGATTAACCGGAATCGCGCGGGAATAAACCCGACTGAAGAGGATCAGCCCAAATTTCGCTGGTTATCGACCGCGAAAATACCAACGTCGGTACAAATTTTAACCTCCCAAGAGTTGCAGCCCAGTCGTGTCATCCTGATTTGCGCAAGATCGACTACGTGTTCCAGCTGTCGGTGTCGGTCATTTCTGGCAGCGTTTGGTTTTTGGATGGTCTGCTATGTAGCTACTAAATCTTATGCTGCCATCTGGAGCTGCTTCCTGCGGCCGGTCGGGCTGCCTCGAAAAAACGGGTGGCGGACCACCCGTGGAGGACCGCACAAACGCGCGCACTTGCATATATGTCCATCCACCTTTCTCCCCGCCCTAGCCTGAAGATGTTTGGAAGATTGGGGGGGGAGGGAGAAGCGTGTAGCCACGGCCTGCGGCAGAGGAGAACGAGGGAGGGCGAGACAGTGGCGGGAGGGATGAAAGAGGGACGAGGAGTGAAGATTAATCATAGGCTCCACGTGCACGCGCAAATGCCAGAAATTTGGGTGCGGCATCGAAGTGATACGGAATCCTCAAACTGGGAAATCGGTGTCTGTTTTGGTTCGCGCGTGACGCGCGTGTGGGCGAGGCGAACCCGTGCGAGGGCGCGGCAAATCCTGGTCATTAGGGCACAATCATCAATTTACTCGGCCCCTCCGCCCAGACCGGCGGTGCCTCCCGGGTTGTCGCGTTAGATTGAAAGACGTCTCGATTGATGTTTTGAAAACGGGGTCGGTTGACAGTTATGGAGGTCGACAGATATCGAGATCACGAGTTTGACTTATCGATAATTGCAAACCGAAGGCTGCACCCATCGGTATGTGGAGGGGGAGGAAGAGGAGGGAGGAGGAGGGAGGAGGAGGGAGGGAGGAGGAGCAGGAGGGGGAGGAGGAGGAGGAGGAGGAGGAGGAGGAGGAGGAGGAAGAGGAAGGGAGGAGGAGGGGGAGGAGGAGGAGAAGGAGGAGGAGGAGGAGCAGGAGGAGGAGGAGGCTTCTCCTCTCTCTCCTGCTCGCTCCCCATTTAATACTGAGATTGTGGCCCCCTCGGCATGCGCATGGAACCGAAGATGATGCGTCGGGGGCCGGGGGTGAGAACGAAGTGACCCCAAGTGGGACATCGGTCTCGGTTTCGGCTCGTGCCGCAAGTGCGAGGCGAGGCTCGCGACGGCCCCAAGCGTTGTCTCGTGGTTGTCCCGTGGTCGTCCCATGCGCTGTCCCGTCGGTTGTCCCGTGTTTTCCTTGGGCTGTCCCGTAGATGTCCCATGGGCTTCCCATGGGTTCAAACAAATCAGTTGTGAGCCTGTAATTATGTGGATAGAATTGGATGGGCGTCAGCCATCGTGCCGCGAGGTACTTTGGAATGCCATCAGCTCCTTCCGACGCTTCCATGCCACTTACTGTGGTACTCTTTCGAAGGCCCAGCCCGGCCCAACCGCGAGAGTTCGGGGCCTCGGCTGCGCGTTCTCCGGGTGTCCCGCATGACATTTACAGAAATCGTAACCACTCGTAAACATTGTGCGTATTCGCGCGTGTGTGTGTGTGTGTGTGTGTGTGTGTGTGTGTGTGTGTGTGTGTGTGTGTGTGTGTGTGTGTGTGTGTGTGTGTGTGTGTGTGTGTGTGTGTGTGTGTGTGTGTGTGTGGGGGGGGGGGTGGGGGTGGGGGGTGGGGGGTGGTGTTTCAATGTTTTCGGCCACAGAGGGGAGAGCCCGAAATGGCCCTAGACGCGGCATATTGGCAGAATGCGTTGACGGCAGCTATACATAACATGTTGGCAAACAAGTATGTGTGTATATATGTGTTCTTATACATACACATGTGAACATCATATGTGTACACGCCAATTGCTTGAAACTGCAAAAGTACAAGTCGTACTTTACAAGGGCATGTAAAGTTATGATGTCTAGAACAGACATGACAGTTTGAATAATTATATAGAGGTTATCATTCCGATGCGAAGCGAACCGTAATTCGACAGATGCTCATGCGCGCCAGAACATATTTATCATCCGAAGTGGGGTTTATGAGGTATGTGTGAGGATGCAGAAGTAAGCTCAGTGCGCATGCAACATTACGCCAGAAGAAATACTACCGTATGGAAATGCGGATATCCTCCACATGATCCGAAGGGTGCACCGCACCCTCTCCCAATTCTGATCTTTGGGCCACCTCCCACCCTTTGATATCTTCGTCGATTGGTGGGCGAGCGAGGGAGGAGGAAAAGGATGATGAGGCTGGAGCGTCTGGGGGGACGAGGAGGAGGAGGAGGTATCGTCGCCACGGCTGGTACTGAGAGTGCCAACAGGACATGTGTTCTGTTTCAGCGACTGCTAGTGTAAGACGTATTCGTGCAACTACTAATGTAGTAATTGCTGTACCTGTAGGAGTTTCAAGAACACCCGCAGAGGCAGTCTAAATAATTGTTGAGGGGCCAGCAGTGGCATTAGCAACAATAGCTGGGAGACGTAAGACTGGAATTTCGGGAACTCTAATTTCCCCGATGAGGAATGCAGAACAATGACGGGACCTAATCTGAATTTCGACTTGACCTGGCGCTACAAACATCTCACAAACATCGGACCGTCTAAATTCACGCTGGGACCTTCAAACAGAGGCGGCAAACCCAAGTTCGGGCAAACTCGACATTGCTGCATTCCCAACATCGCTGCAACGTAATAGCTTGGGTGCCTGCCTACCAAAACCACTCTGGACCTCCCGATGTGCCTCAAGGCCTCCCATAACTTCCTGGCACCCTCACCCCCCCGCCTCGCTCCTGCATCGTTCCACTGTTCCCCTTCCCCGCATCCCGTCTGGGATGGGGCGCCTTGGAAGTCGTGGGCCCCATCCCTGCCTGAGGGGATTGGCGCGAACCTGGGCCCTGGACCATACAGACAAGACCCCGCAACGACCCCATGAGTGCGCCGTCGTATGTTTACTGTTCTTCTTCTTCTTCCTCCTGTCTTTTCGCTCTCGCTCCCTCCCTCTCCATCTCTCTTTCCCTTCCTCTTTTTTTGCTTACCTCTCTCTCTCTCTCGCTCTCTCTCTCTCTCTCTCTCGCTCACACACTCTCTCTCTCTCTCCCCCCCTCTCTCTCTACTCATCGTGGCCACCTTGATCATCCCTACCTATACCCACAGCCCCTCCGTGAACTCTTCAACCTATTGGATTCACGCGTGCTGCGCGTGCTGCGGGTCAGGACCCTCACAAACACTCTTCGTCTCGGGATCATCCTGTAGGACCCGTGCAGACAAGCTATTTAGGGACACATTGCAGTCGTAGTTCCGCAGTGGGTGGAGAGGTCCAGGGCCCACGAGACACAAAGAACCCCTCCGCCAGGTCAGGGAAAAACGCGACGCTGGATCTGCAGTTCGTGCATCGATCCAGCTCGGGACAATATCACCCCTTTTCCTCACCGACAACCAAGCAACATCGGTGGAGGCCAGCGCTATTGTCAAAGGGCGGCCCTCCCGATTTCGGTGCTCACAATTCATGCACATGGGAACGGACATACATTCCCAAAGCTATAGTTGATTCGTTCCGCTTCAGCGCGGCGGCGACTTGAGCAAGGGCGTTGAAGGATAAACGCGCCCAGTGGCCCATCGTCGGCCGATGTCGAAACATCTCCGCTATCGGAACGCCGCGATCAGAAGACACCCCCCACTTGATCGTGACGTCAACTTGCCACATCCGCCGCACACGCAACGCAAATACATCCCATGTCCGGAATCGGTGGACCGCGGCCCGTGGCCTCCCGCTTGGTCTCGCGTATGGTCTCCCGAATCGTTTTCCATGGGGTCTCCCATGTATGGTCTCCCGTGTGGCATCCCGTATGGCCTCTCGCATGGTCTCCCGCACGCTCTCCCGTGAGGTCCCCCGCACGGTCTCCCGTGTGGCCTCCCGCATGGACTTCCGCCTGGTCTCTCGCGCATGGTCTGCCTCACGGCCTCCCCGCATGGTCTCCCGAATGGTCTCCCGTGCGCTCCCCCGCGTGGTTTCCCGCATGGCCTCCCGCACGTCTCCCGCAGGGTCTCCCAAGAAGTCTCCCGCACGGTCTCCTGTGCGGTCTCCCACGCGGCCCCCCACATGGCCTCCCAGAAAGCATCCCGCGTGGTACTCCGCATGGTCTCCCCCATGGCCTCCTCCCGCAGAATGTCCCGTCTCAAAGCGCTGTTTGGAGCCTTCTGCTGCCGGGGTTGCTTTTTTTTCCGCGGAGCTAGAACTGGAGGGGATCTGTGGCCCGCTCGGGAAACTCTGAATCTCAAGCTTTTATCTTCTCCCTGGGGGCGCATCCTGTTGTTTCGCTGAAGAAGAGAAGGCAACTTCTGGATCCCTCGAAGCCAAACCCTTTCTGCTGGAGCTCCCCAATTTGGGCCAGACCCCCCCCCGTTCGACTTGGCACCCGGCCGCCCCTCCCTGGACCCTGGGCCCCCTCCAGTGCGTCGCGCCCGCGCGCTTCTGCCGCGCGCGTCTGCCAGTCGGCCGCGCGGCAGCTCGAGTGCCGATGGCGACCCTCGGGGGCGCTGGTGGGAGCGGAGGGGGGGGAGGGCGAGAGGAGCAGCGTATAAAAGCTTTCGACAATCCAGGGGGATTTCGTGGGTCGGCGGTGGATCCTCCTCCGCCCCGTCCCCTGCGCGCGGAGCGCGCTAGTGGCGGCGCCAGAGGCGCCGCCAAGGATGACGGGAACGGGGTGTTGTGGGGAGCGAGCGCAGACCCACGAAATCAGTGCCTGCCTCCGAGCACTTCTGCTCGTGCAGTTTCTTGGTCTTCCAGGAGCAGAGGTAGGTCACGGAGGAGGAGGAGGAGGAGGAGGAGGAGGAGGAGGAGGAGGAGGAGGAGGTGTCCGGCACCACCACACCTCCAGAGGCTTATTTCAGGCCCAAGTCTTGGCAGGCGCGCCCTCCAGGCTTGGCCGGGAGCTGTCGCCCCTGTCGAGGAGTGATCGTGCTGGCCAGCTTCCCGGCAGGAAGGGGGGGGAGGAGGGTGCTAAGGCGAGGCTTACCGGCAGGAAGAGGGGGAGGAGGAGGGGGAGGAGGGGGAGGAGCTTCCCAGCAGGAAGAGGGGGAGGAGGGGGAGGGGGGTTGGCAAATGGCAAGTGTGCACGCCTCTGGAGAAGCCCGGCGCAGGGGCGCGCTGAGGCAGCCAAATCAGGCAGCTTGGATCGGTCACTCGGCGGATGGACAGAAGGCAAGAGCGGGAGCATCAAGAAAAGAACACGGTGAACACTGCAAGCCAACGCCGCACAAGACTCAGGACGCACGACCAAACGCTCAGAACAACCGGACTGGAAGACGAGGACATGGAAGCCAGCCTGCAAGCGGAGATAACCTGCTGGCGCCGACCACCGCTCGCCCAGCAGTGCTCAGAACAAGCAAAACAAATGCAGCGAGATCACATACATGCGGGTAGGGCTCCAAAGATGGCGAAGATACAATTTCGGGCATCTGGCCTCGGGATCAAGTATATCTCTTGGGCAGGACCCCCCACCATCCCTTGCAAAAAACAATACGACATGCACTCTTCACCAAAACCTGGAACATGCGCGGTCGCCCCGCGATCACTTCGCAGGTTTTTGACAGGGACGGCGGGGAGGGCCAGCATATTACCTGCTGGGTACAGGCCCACCAGCCCTTTCAACACAAATTCCACAAGCACTTTGCCAGGGGCGGCGGGGGAGGGGGGCGGCGTATGAGCTGCTGCGTGCAGGCCCGCCATACCTGTCAGAAACAAGTGCAGAGTGATTTCGGGCGCACAGCCACACGCAATGCACAGTGCTGGCGATCGCGCCGTCGCCGTGCCTTTGCTTCTGACAGTGACGGTGTGGGGGGTCGTCATCTTGCCCAGTGTGGCGCACCCGGAGCCCGTGGCGCACCTGGCATGTGCGGCGCGCCTCGCGGGCGTCGCGCAACCGGCTGGCGTCTGCAGTGGCTCCCGACGGTTGTCCGTGGTGAGCACTGAATCTGCTGAGACTCGGGTGCTACGTTGCGTAGGGAGAGTGCGGGTGGGTGGGAGTGAGCGAGACAGCTTGCGGCGCCCCGCTGGGAACCTGATCGCTGCTCCTGATGAGCAAACAATCTATCCTTTTACCCGACCGGCGACAAACCAAAGATACTGCACCCCCAACATCCTCTGTCAAAAAACAAGAATACAACATGCACTTCACACCAACATCTGGATCATGCGCGGACACGTCGCGATCACCTCGCATTTGTTTCCAACCCTCCTGCGTTGGGTACTCGTTTTGAACAGAACACTGCAGTCGCACATCTTCTTCCCTTCCCGCTTCCCTCCTCCTCTCCTCTTCCCTTCTGCGTGTAACCTTTCGCAAATCGCGGCCAGATGCGGGCCCCTCCTCCAGCTTGATGCTCGGTGGGGGGTTGCGATATGCGAGTGTGTCGCCAGTTTCGAAGCCTGCTGGGTGTCCAGCGGTGCCAGGCACCACCCAGACTCAGATTGAACCTCGCCATCCCTGGAGGGCTGCGATTGTGAAACTGTCATCACTTTCGAGGGCTGCTGGGGGGTCCAGCGGAATGAAGCGCCACCCAAACTCATACTAGACCTCGCCATCCCTGGGGGGCTGCGATCTGCGAAACCGTCGCCAGTTTCGAAGGTTGCGGGGGCGTTCATCGAAGTGGGGCACCACCCGAACTCAACCTACAACCTCTCCATCAAAGGGGGGGTGCGATCTGCGAAACCGTCATCACGTTCAAAGCCTGCTGGAGGTTCAGCAGAGTGAAGCACCACTCAGACTCATAATCAAACTCATATTAGACCTCGCCGTCCCTGGGGGGGCTGCGACCTGCGAAGCTGTAGCCACTTTCGAAGCCTGCTGAAGTTCAGCACAATGAGGCACCACCCAGAATCATATTAGACCTCGCCATTCGTGGGGGGTTGCGGTCTGCGAAACTGTCGCCACTTGCGAAGGGTGCTGGGGATTCCAGCGGGGTGAGGCACCACTCAGACTCAGATTGGACCTCGCCATCCCTCGGGGGTTGCGATCTGCGGAACTGTCGCCACTTTCGAAGGCTGCTGGGTGGTCCAGCGGGGCGCTGTCGCGGGCCGCCCGCGGACCTGGCGGCGCGCCTTCGAGCGCTTAGCTCCCGCACGGAAGCACGCAGGAAGGAAGCAGGGAAACTGGCGAACGAGCTAGGCCTCATTCGCTTCTTGCGCTATCTATAAGCGGGTGTGATACTTCTGTCGATCGCCGCGGCGACATGGCGCAGGCAACGCTGCATCTTTAGCGTACTACCGACAAAAGCAGCACTCTTCGGTCTCCTCCTTTCACTTTCGTCGTCGTCTTCTGCCCCTTGCCACCTTCCTTCTGCTGCTGCCGCGCCGACGGTTCCCCCCCCGCCCCCCGCGCGTCCTTCTCCTGCCCTTCGTTCCCGCCCCCGTGTCCTCCTCAAGCTTGGGCAATCGCTCCTCGTCCTTCTGTTGTTGTCCTGCGAATCGCGCCACATGATCGTACCCCATGTAGCTTGCACAACATATAACGGCGTCTGTTCTGTCATTGTCCTTGCAAGTTTGGGCCGGTCCACCTTCTCACTTGATGCAAGTGAATTGGGTGCGTCACAAGGTAAGTTTGACAGGGATGCTGGGACTGTCGACATATTGCCTGTTGTGTGCAATGCCAACCCCCCCCGCTATCATCGCTATCCATGAGCAAAAAATACCGAGTGCACGTTGCACCGAATTCACTTTGCATTGGTTTTTGATGAAGGTGGTGGTGGTGGTGGTGGTGGGGGGGGGGGTCGGCGCAGCGCCTTGTGTGCAATGCCACCCCACCACCATCTCTGACAACAAACATTGCAAAGTGTACTTTGCACCACAACCTGGATCAAACGCGTGCGCCCCGCGATAACCTTGCCATGGCTTTTGACAGGGGCTGTGGGGGGGAGGGGGCGGCATATCGTCAGCTGTGTGCAATGCCTGTGCCCCCCGTCATCCCTGGTAGAAATCCATGCAAAGTGGATGTTGCACCAACTTCTGGATCTCGCGTGGGCGGCCCGCGATCATGTTGCAATAGCTTTTGACAAAAATGGTTGGAATGCTAGCATATTGCCCGCTGCGTGCAATGCCAGCCCCCCAACCATCTCTTGCAAACGACACTGCGAAGTGCACTTTGCACCCAAACCTGGATCATGCGCGGGCGCCAGGCGATCTGCTGCGTGAGATGCCAGCACCCCCTATCATCCCTTGCAAGAGACCAACTTAATACAAAGTGCAGTTTGCACCAAAACCTAGATCATGCGCGGGCGCCCCGCGATCACTTTGCTATGGTTTTTGACAGGGGTCGTGGGGAAGGGGGGGGGCGTATCGTTTGCTGTGTGCAGCGCGTGCGTCCCCATCATCCCTGGTACAACTCAATACAAAGTGCATGTTGCACCACACTCTGGATCGTGCGTGGACGACACGCGATCGTGTTGCATGGTTTTTCGCCAAGATGGTCGGGGTGTCCGAATATTGCCTGCTGTGTACGAGGCCAGCCCCCCCCAAACCATCTTTTGCATCACGCAAGGCGAAATGCATGTTGCATCAAATACCTGGATCATGCGCGGGCACCCCACATCACTCCCAGCGCACTCTTGTGAAACTGTGTGCGCAGGAAAAACGGCGACAAAATACACATAATTTTCATATGGTATCCACCCATTGGAAATAACAATGACATCTCGGTGACACCGGCTACCCCCCGCCTACGAAATTTTGACAGCGACCGACACTAGATAGACCGACCGCACGGTCTATCTCGACAAAGCATTCAAAATAACGAAAGAACCGAGATGTATCGACAAAACGTAAGCGAAGAAACGGGTTGATTCTGAAACCGTATACATACCTTTGCGATGCAGGGGCAAGCTATTCAAGAACAGTAGCAAATGTGGTCTGGAAACTAAGATTTCGCGTTCAGATTCAAAAACAAGTGCAACGTGATTGCGCGTGCACGCACGCACACACAATACAAAATGCTAGCAACCCCGCCGTCACTGTGCTTTTTGCTTTTGATGAAAAAGGGTGGGGTCTTCATATTACCCAATGTGGCGGACCTGGTGCGCGTGGCGCACCTGGCGTTTGCGGCGCACCTCGCGGGCGTCGCGCTCCTGGCAGGCGTCTGCATTGGTTCCCGACGGTTGTCGACGGCGGCTCTTGTCTATGCTGAGACTCGGGTGCTACGTATGTAAGGGGAAGGCGGGTGGGAGTGAGCGGGGCAGCTTGCGGCGTTCCCCTACCCCCCCCCTTCGTCCACACGGGGTGGCGGCGAGCGGTAAGAGGGCCCAAAATAACCCAAGATGGCTCCAAGGGGGGGGGGGCCAGATAAGCCGAGATGGCTTCCACGGCATTCCAAAACTCAATATCAATCCAAGACAGGTCCACATGGAGATGGAGCTTCCCCAAGGCGGCCCACAGAGGCCGACATCCATCCCACACTAAGGCACATCATTACTCTGTTGCCTTATTCTATATCCGATTATCATGGCCTTCCGAATCCTTAGGATGGCTCCAATGTGGCTC